AATTGGAATATAATATTATTTAGGAATTAAAATAAATTTGTTTGAAATGGCCTATTATATGATATGAGTCAAAAAAAAAAAAATTAATATAATACATGACAAGCTAATACTGAGTATTAGGATGACAATTGTCATCTTTTTAATAAAAATTGTAATACAAGTTAAAGTTCTTAAATAATTATTTATATTTTATTTTTATAATTTTTAAATATGCAATTTAATTAAAAAAAAACCCTTGCAATAGAGTTGTGCAACTACTAATTGATAACTACAGTAATCCTCTCATACTCACGGTGAACACATGTTAATATGTCCACCGCTTATGTGGCATTCACACAATGGTGATGTATTTTTTTAAACATATTAACATCACCAATATGTGCATGCCACATAAACGGTGGGTATACTAACATATGCCCACCGTCGCATTATTCTTGATAACTATTGTGGAACTCCGAAGTTTAACTTAAATAATGAATTAGGTAAATTACCTACCAAGAACATAGCATGAGTTGAATACATGTGGGGTTGATTAAATGGCTATACTCCAAAGTCTTTAATTAATTGTTATTAAATAAACAAATTAATGAGTCAATGTAATGGTTAGATAAGTCGAACTATCATATATTTTTAATAAAAAAAGCAATACTAATGCTATGAAATATGATATTTTTCGTTATTTTTCGATTTAAAGTAGAACACGTTAATTTTAAAATATACAAATTTACTGAAAAATTATTGCTAAAGTCGGACGAACACTGAAATTCCTCCAATAGTTAAATGCATATTTTTCTAAGGTTACGTATCAATTTCTAGGTTTCGTATCATATGTATCTAAATTTTTGTTTTGGAGTACATGTAGATTTAGATTAATATTCATGTTTTAGAATTTTAAAAATTATAAAAAACTTTATGAAGTCAAATTATAAATATATGTTGAAACTTAATCATTTTTCATTTGTTATAATTTTTTAGTGGTATATCAAATTAATTATTTTTTTTCTGTTTTCTTTATTTTGTACGTCATATAATATAATAAAAATTTATATCTGCATTAGATAAATAAAAATTGAATTATCCAATATATTCTAATTGAAAAATAATAGTATTATTATTAATTATTAATTAAATTGTTTTTTATGTATGTGTTGCGAAATTTTATAAGTAGGACAAGTAAATCTTTACCCGCAATAAATATCATTTTAAATAATTTTTTTTAGAAAGTGTTTTAAAATTTAATTAAAATATTCAATTTGTTGAATTTTTAATTTGCACACTATTTCTATTTCGTGCTTGTCTGGGAGCACTTTTGTATAAGTCTATTTTTAAAATGGACTTGTGCAAATGGACTTTCCCCAAAGTCATCATGCTCTACTTTTACATTATTGATTTTTTGGGAAACTAATTTACCTTTAAGTTCATTTTTAGTTTAGCACCAAACATAACTAATTGGGAGATATTGTTGAAGTTTGTAACTATTATATCAACTGTCTCTGACGAGTATGATGATTTAATTGTCACAAACCCCAACCAAATGGTTTCGTAAATGAAACCGTAACATTTCCCTAACTTATCTATCCACGTGGACTTTCTCACTCAAAAGTCCATTTGAAAAGTATTTCTAAACGAGCTCTAAATATTACGAAGATTTGCAACACATTGTAGGGAAATGCTACAGTCTCGTTACGGAATCATTCTGTCGGGATTTGTAACCAATAGATCATCATATAATGTCGTCCTGAATAGTTGATCTACCAGTTACAAATCTCGTTTCGACGGGACATTAGAATCTCACGTTGCAAACCCCACTTTCCAGGTACAAGAAGCTCGGGTCAATCTATAATCTTGAAAACAAGAGCATGAACAAAAAAAAAAGTAAAATTAACCAGTGAATTTAAAAGAAAGAAACTTTCGTTGTCCCTTTGTCAAAATAAGCCAACAGCGGAGAATGCTAAATACTGTTGCAGTTCAAAATTGTCGGAAACAGAAGTAGAAACCCAGATTGAAATTTCAGGTTTTTTTTTTT